GAGTAGGGGAGGGGGAGGAAGGAGGCAAGTTCTCTAATTTCTGGGCCATTTTCCCACTTCTTGTGGGAAAGTGCCCTGCAGTTTTCTGCCTGGATTGTGAGATTGCCTGGCAGAAACCTCAGTGAGGGCCCTTTTGAGGAGAAGAAATGCATGATTCAGCCAGTGGGATGGAGCCAGCAAGGCTCCCGATTGGTGAGGAGACCAGAGGGAGGCTGAGGGAGCAAAGGGCAGAGAGCAAGGGACATGGATCCCACCAGCCAGCAGAGCCCTAGGGAGCGGGGCAGAGACAGAGAGGAGCACCGGGTGTGCCAACCAGCATGCTGGCTCCTGAGAGCAGCTTCTTGGAGGCCAAGCTGTATAGCCAGGGAGCCAAAAAATAATAAGATAGAACCAAGTGGGTGACTGATTCAGCAGTGGAGTTGCTCTTGGTCCAGGCCCAGCCTGGAAATTATAGGCCTGAGTTGTAACTTCCGGGACAACTACTGGAATCAGAGGCCTGCTGGTGACTGTGGTCAACAGCCACATGGCCCTGCCTTGCCTTCCTGGGTCATGGTCATCTTTGCTTGGAGGAGGGGGCGTCCCTCATGCCCTAGGATGGAGAGCTGCTCCACGGAGGCCCGGCCAGGGTCGGGAGAACATTTTGTCCACTCCCCACTGCAAAATTACAGGACAAGAGTGGCAAGTTCAGCGTCTCCTCCACTCTCAGTGTTGTGGAAACGCAAGTTTTCATGAATGCTCTCATGGTACAAAGGAAGCAGGAGGTAGCTTTCTAATCTTAGTCTGCCACTGCTGTGTGGCTTTGGAAAATTTGTTTCCCAGCCTGGAAAGGGGGACCACAGCATCTGTCCAGGCTCACAAGACTTGTGAAGGACGCTTGGCACACCCAGATGTAATGACTGACTTCTGTAATCCCATCCCCAGGATTGGACCTCACGTACCCCTCTGCCTTTTGCAAAAAGGGCCACCAGCCCCTTTTTAAAGAGAGTAGAGCAGGGTTTCATGGAGTTTGAGCATTCTGACAAAATCAAGAGGACAGTTAGCGGTTGAGCCAGAGCTCTGTCCCCATCCACCAACCCCAAGGCCACCGTCCCACAGTGGGTGCCTGTGTTGGGCTGTCCCCCAGCCCTTCGGTGGTTATTGCCTGTCACAATGGGGTGAAGAGGATGTGATCACAGCTGAAATCTTCCCAAGGCCACATAGCTAGTGAGCCATGAGGCTGGGATTTGAGCCCAAGCATCTGATGCCAAAGATCCCGTCTGAGCTCAGAGCCAAAATGCACAATGAGCATTCAGTTGTTAGCATCCTACCAGTCTGCAAGTGTCATAGACAGTGTCTTCTTAACAGCACCTTCTAGAGTCTAGCATGGCTCCAGGGCATCAAAGGGAATTTTGCTGGGTGAATATACAGGAGAGTGAACTTCACATTTCTGAACTTCAGTGTCCTCATCCAGAAAAGCAGAATAATGTTCTCCATTAACCTTGCTAGAGACAGTCTATCAAAGAGGTTAAAATCATTAACTGCATGAGACATCTCAGTTTAAGACCTGGCTCGCCTAACCACATAACCTTGGATATGTCCCTTAACACTTTATGGTTCAATTTTGTCATAAAATGTGTGTGGATCATGACAGGACCCGCTTCATTGGGCTTTCATAAGGTCTAAATGGGTTAACATATATAACTCAAGGATGCCAGGATTATCATTGGCTTATAGAGTTATTATAAAGGATGTGTTTAATGCCACTGTCAAAGATTTAGAGACACTCTGGGAGGCTGAGGCAGGAATGTGGCAAGTTCAAGCCCAGACTGTGCAACTTAATGACTTAGTGAGACCCTGTCTGAAAATAAAAAATATAAGAAGGGCTGGGAATGTCGCTCATTGCAAAGGTCCTGGATTCATTCAATCCCCAGTACCACAAAAAAAATTTAAAAAGTCAAAAGACTCTAAGGAAACTGGAATGGGTTGTTGGACCTTGGTGATATCTTACCTCTACCATCAGCTCCTTGAGATGGGAACAGTTGGCTCCCTGCCCCACAAACTTCCCTCTTCCTTCCAGCAGAAAATCCCAGATCTGTTGAGGCACTGGCCTCTCCCACAGACAATTCAATGTAATATGGCCCCAGCCTCAACCAGGAACAGGCTGCAGCTGGTCTAAGTCCATCGTGGTCATTTTGTTCCTTTTGCCAGTGGCTGGTACAGGAGTGGGACCCAACTCTGCCCAGTAAAAAGGGAGGGCAGCTGTATTAGGGGAGACTGGACAGTGCTCCATTTTCTCCTCTGGAATGCTGTCATGGCTGGATGGGATGGTGGAACTTTAGCCACCATCTTGTCCCAACCTGAGAACCATGGCAGAAGCAGAAGCAGAGGAGCCAGGGTTTGAGGTTCCTTCACCTCTGGACTTTTCATTTGGTGAAGGGAAATGCACTCACTTATCATTTAAGACCATTTGGGTCCAGTTTCTTGGTACTCATAGACAGAGCATCACAATGGATGTAATACTTGGCACCCACATCTGCTTCCTATTGCAATCGATTGTTCTCAATCAATTTTTCTCTCAGTCCCTCATCACATTTGAGTGTAGCCTTTTAAAAACTGTGTCCCTCTCTCTTTCTAGAATTGAAACTTTGTGAGAGAAGGGGGAAAACCAGTGCCTGGGGCACAGCATCTATTTAGTATTTGTTGAATAAAAATGATGAAGAGGTAAGATGTGATAGATATATGCACCAATTCCCCAAGAAGAGTGTAGTTATTGTGTATCACAAGATATACTAAAATTTTTTAAAGTATTTGTTGAATAAATGAATGAACTAATATCCTAGCCCTTCAACTACAGATTTTGAATTGGAAATTCTAGAAGATTCTCACTGAATTTTATGAGATATTATTAAAGGCTGTTATGAGGAAATGACATTGACATATTTTGGATTGCATTTCCAATTTTGGCAGCTTGAGCAATCTAGACAAATCCTTCCTCTAAGGAGAATTGGAAAAATTAGGCAAAATATTTTCCAGCTTGAAAATATGGGAAAGTTATCAAGGTAGTAAAAAAGTACTGGGTTGAGCTCTCAAAGAAAAAAAAAGCACCAAAGAGGTGAGCCTGCATTTGGGGGTGCTTTTGCTCTGGATGCATTTGAAAATCCAGAAGGTGCAGCTGAGAAATTGGAAAATGTTTTTAACAATTATTTGGGAATAAGGAAGAAAAGTTGTAATTCAGGATCTACCAAATTGGAGATAATGAAATACCCCTAATAGTTTCAGACCTTAAAGGGCTATTCTCTAAAACTGAGAGTGGACGGTCAATAAACCAGCCATCACATGGACTCTAGACCAGCTTCTAGATGTCTAGGTACTCAAGCTAGCCTCAACTCCTGTAAGATTATTAACAATATTAAGAGGGTCTGAAAGGCCTCCGGAATCCAGCAAAAGCAAATAATCCTCTCTGGAAGATGAATTTTAAGTTCTCATTTTATTTTCATGAATAATCCTCAATTATAATTATGCATGGACAAAGATAACCAGTCATGTGAGGAAGCAGCATACATAGACCTCAGAAGAAGTATCATACAATAGAAGCAGCAGCATAAGTATCCCAGCTGGTCAGTTCAGACTTTAAAATAATAAGTTTTGCTATGTTGGGGAAAATTTTAAAAATAAGAATTAAAATTTTAACAGACAACTATAGAGAAACAGAATTTGTGAACTACAGAAATAAATAGCCAAAATCTAGAACTTAAAGAATAAATTTTGATTCAGGTGAGAAAAGACTCAATAAATTGAAAGGGAGGTGGAACATCCAAAATGAATCATAGTAAAGAAAATTTGAAAAATGCAAAGAAAGGATAAGAGACTTGAAAGGGACAGTTAGAAATTCTAACAAATGTTTAATTAGACTCTTCGTGGTAGAGGAAAGAAAACAGATATAACACTTGGAGAGAGAATGTGAACAATTTCCAAAACTGACAAAAGGCTTAAATTCAAAGGTAAATGAAGCCAAATTAACCTCATAAGAGTAAATAAAAATCAATCTACAGTATAGTAAAATATCTCAAAAACAAAATCAAAATCAAACAAAATAAAAATCTTAAAGACAAGTGTGGGGGAGAAAAAGACATTTTACTTTCAAAGCTGTAATGATGAAACTGACAACTGACTTCCCTGCAGAAACAACAAGAATTAGAAGACGATGGAATGACAGCTTTAATATGCTAAGTGGGAGAAAAAAAAAATGCTAAGTTAGAGTTCTGTGCCCAGAGAAAACATCTTTTAGGAATAATAAAAGTAAAATAGTGACATTTTCATATAAACAGAAAATGAGAAAATTTCACACCATAAAATCCAGTCCCAAAGGAACAGCAGTCTTCCTTCAGACAGAAGGAAAATGATACCATATGGAAAGTCAAAGAATCAGGGAAAGCAGTAAAAATTTTAAATATGTGGATAAATCTAAATATTGACTGGCTACAAAAATTATGTCTCATGATGTTGAAAATATAAAGAGAATAAACAAAACAATTGTATATGAAACAGGAGGGTAGCAACCACAATATAAATGATTGGAAGCCCCATTGAAGAGAGAACAAAAGCACTCAGTATTAGAGTTTTACAAATCAAAGATGTATGCTGGAATCTGTAGGGAATCATTAAAGAGCATCAAATGGGTGTATTCCAGCTTAACAAAAGGGAAATAGTATAACTGCAAATAATTTGTGCAAAAAACACACAAAAAAAGGAATATACTTTCAAATATGGCAGGACAAATAGAAAGTAGTATGACAGTAGATTTAAACTCAAGTATAGAGGTAGTAAGGTAAGTGTAAATACACCAAGTGCTCCAATTAAAAAGCAAACTTCCACAGACTGAATTTGAAAACAACTGTATGCTACTTATATGGGTAGGTCTAAAACCTAGAGATACACAAAAGTTGAAAAGAAAGAATGGCAAATGAGAGTCCATCCAAACACTAACTAAAAGAAAAGCCAGGGATGTAGCTCAGTGGCACAGAGCCTGCCTGGCAAGCAAAAGGTCCTAAGTTTGATCCACAATACTGGAAAAAAAAAAAACAAAAAAAAAACACTAACCAAATCAGTGAAACTGTGTTAATATCACACAATGTAGATTTTAAGGCAAAAGGCATTGCTAAAGAAGTAAATAAAAGATTCAAGACACTAAGAAGGTATGTGGATCCTAAACTTGTATGCCCCTAACAATTTAGCCTCAAAAATCTACAAAGCAAAAATACACAGAACTATAAGCACAGCTATAATTCTACAATCTTTGTGGAAGATAATTTCTGTTTTTATTTCATATAAGCAAACAGCACTGAGTTAGTGTGTGCCCAGTACCTTTCCGAACACTTTATGTGTGTTTGCTCATTTACCCTTCCCAATACTCGCAAGAGGTAGCTACTCTCTTGGTAGGTGAGAATTCTGAAACACCAAGGTGTCAGTAACTTGGCCAAAGTCACAGAAATGTTAAGTATGAGACTTGAAATTTGAAACCAACCATTCCTCCCAGAAATAAAACTTTACGAACTGTCTGGGTGTCCCTTTCTTCAGACAAGCTGACACCTAAAATTAACCATCACAGGTGTATAGGACAGAGTCCAGAAAAGTCCAAATATGGGGAAGGGAAGGAGAAGGGAAGGAGAAGGAAGGGGAGGGAAGGAGAGAAATAGAAAAAAGAAAGAGCGAAACCACTCATTCTATATTCAGTCTTTTACTGAGTCACAATAGGAGACACTAACACAAACTCTTTTGGTAGCCAAAAAGAAAACTCAGGCAAAATTCATTAAGGGCAGACTGGGTTGTAGCCATACTATTCCCTATTAGAGTAGCTCCCCTAAACTCGAGTTTTACGGCACAGTTATGTCCAGTAATGAATTGTCATGAGGTTGAAATGAGATCATACTTATTCATAAACTGGAAACTGCTGTTCAAACAGTAGGTTCTATTATTTAACACTTGGTCCACTATTTTTACTTTTTAAGGTGATTTTATGAGTTTGTAATCTGCGTTTGTTGTAATCCCTTTAGACTTCCATTACAAAAAGGTAAAAAGAATAAAGAATCAAGAAACTGTTGTATCACAGTTTATAGAGACGAGTATAAAATGTTTATGTAAATAGAATCTGAGTTAACATGGTAAAAGGTCATATACTGGTGGCTCTTCAGCATCTTCTCAGCTCACACACCATGCCATTCAGGCTCCCAGGTGTCCCTGCACACTCCCTGGGAATAGATGACCAGAGAGCCAGCGTAGGACCTTATGCAGAAACTGCCCTTCTTGTGTGCATTCCACACTGCCCCTCTGCCCTCAGGGGCAGCAGCGAGGTTATAGGAGGCCTCACTGGTAGAGCGCTTTGAATTCTACACAGAGCCAAACAAACACCAGGCATTGTTAAGGATCTCAAACTATGTGAGTAGCTTGCCTGGTCTGTTTTGTGCTGCTTCGTGTGTTCTTAATAATAAAAGCTAACATTTATTGAGAGCTGGCCATGGGGCAGGCACGGCGCCAAGTCCTTTATAAGCTGCATTTCATCTGTTGTTCACAGCAACCGCAGGGACAGGGTGGTCAAGGGCACTACGGGCAGACTGCCTGAGGTCATCCCAGGCCCCACCATGTACCAGCAGTGAGTCCTCCAGCAGCAATGCTCTCTTATGTGCCTCAGTTTTGTCTGTAAAATGGCAATAATAATAGCACCAATTTCTTCAACAACTCAGTGACTGTTCTAACATATGCTAAGACCTTAGTTAGTACTGTGTTTGGCACTGGCTTAGACTGACAGTGTTCCATAAGGGCCTGCTGTTTTGTTTTCATTTTATAGGTGGTGGTGAAATGATTATAAATAGCAAATCATCCAGCTGGGGAGGGGTGAGGCTGGGGTTCTAAGCCAGAACCCCAATGCCCACTTTAAACCACTCTACTTCCTACCTACAGCCTCATGAGCAACCTCAGGCACCTCAGCCATTCACAACGACCAAGGACCAAGTTATCTCTGTGTCTCTTGCAATTATCCTGCTCATCGTGCCTGAGTTTTGGTCTCCCTAGGCGGAAGTTCTCAGGAAACCTCAGGTCCAACACTTGTGCCCATCTTTTTCTCACTAACACTCAGCAGAGAAAAAAATGGTCACAGAAGCACCTTATCCAAACATCAACTAAAACATTCCCATTCCCCATACCTCCCTGCAACACCACCCTCAGCCTCTGCCCCAGCTGCAGATTGCCTGGGAGCTGTTTATTTCCAGTCCGTGCTTGAGGCTAAGCAGCAGCAGCTGGGGCAGGCTGGGCTGACCTCCTGGGGAGAGCCGGAAGTGCCCTCTGCAGAAACATTGCGGACCGCAGAGCTGTCCCCAAGCAGGCGCTCGCTGGTGGCTGCCCCAGGCTGGCAGGCATTTGATGAAAGGGACAAGGCCAGCATCTCCACCCTGTGGCAGAAGGGAAGGTAGAGGGAGGTGCGGTCCTTTTTCTGGCCACTGGTTTAGGGAGGTTGACCTGCAAATCTGGCTGGAGACAACGATTAGATAGTGGTTTCATTACAGGTCATGCTGTCATGTGCGTTTTTTATGGTTTGTCTTAGGCTGTGCTCTCATTTCTCTTCTACTTCTAGGATCAGTTATGCAACTCGGGATGTTCAGAAATCCCTGCACACCCTTCCTGCTGAAGACGTCATGCAGAAGGCTAGGAGCAGCTCGCAGCTGGATGGAGAGGCAGGACCTGCAGATTGTTTTTGCTCTCTCTGCTGCCTCCCTCTTACAGTTCCTGCTCTGTTCAGGGGCCTTGGGGAAGAGAAGAATGTGAAAAATAAGCTCGTACCATGTGGGAATGGCTGATACTAGTTTCACAGGTTAATCTGCTTCCCAAGGTGGGGGTTTTGCTTTTCACACAGTGAACTCAGAGCTAGAATCCCCAGTGACAGAATTTCCGGCACTCTTGCTTTATGGATGCTTTCCTAGGTGGGAGCAAACCTGGGTTAAGTGCGGTGAGAGGGTTTGGGAGGTGCTATCCACGTTGCACCCATATTCCCGACTCTGCCACTTGCTAGCTACGAAATTTGGGGCAAGTGACTTCACCTCTCTAAATCGCCTGCCATAGATTTGAGTTTCCCTGGGAGTAGACTCTGATTCAAGGATGGATGTGTAAGCAGTGGGGGTGGAGGTGATCCCAAGAGTCACTGTCAAGGGAACACTATAGGACATAAGCTAAGGAAGGCAGCCAGTACAGGGGTGGGAGTGAGAAGTGTCCCCTGGGGGTGCTGGCAGACCAGGCAGAACACACCTAGAGGTGGCCCCCGAGAGGAGTGGCAGCTGGGGTTCAGCCATTGGTCCAGGGCTGCCCCCCATGTCTCCAGCACCCGGAGCCCTCAGAGAAGGCTCCAGAGGCAGAGAGCAGCTCCTGGCTTGTAGTTGGAGGCTGGAAGACCCTTCTTACCCCAAATCCCTGAAGGCTTCCTGTTACCTGACCTATGAAGGCCATGCTCCTCGCTGTGATGTTAAAAGCCCCCTGTCATTTGGCCTGGAATGATTTTGCCACTTATCTCTTTATCACTCCTTCACTCCTGCAAAATCCTAGGACTTGCCTCCTTGGCATTTAACCTGCCCCAAAATAAAGAAAAGGAAGAAAATGGGAACGTTTCAGCTGTGAGCCAACATGTAGCCCAAGAGTGTCCTTCCAGGGCTCTGCCCCTGGCATTTTGGACGTGGCTGGATGACTCCAGCCTTGGGCATCATCTGAAATGGTAGGAAGAGCCACAGCCACTCTGAGAAGTAACGGGAGGTAGCACTGTTAAGAGGCACTGGGCACCTGGAGCCTTGTGGCTTCCTTAGGAAGAAGGGCATTTCTCTTGTTTAACGTGGATTTGGGTTGTGCTGGATCTGAAGTCACTTATTGTTGGTGCATGTGTGTGCATGCATTTACATGTGTGTGCACATGTCTCCCATGCAGACAAATCTTTCCCTCTCTGCTCATCCAGCAACATTAGGTTGACCAAACCTGGACCAAACAAGGGACTCCCTTAGATGTTCACTTAGAAGTCAGGAGCTGTGTGCAAACACCATTTCCCCTGTGAGCACCAGAGGGAGCTGGCCCTGGAAGGGACAGGGGCCAGAACCTTGGATTCATTCTGTTCCCACCTTTGCTGCCCCCTGGTCCCTGGTGCAGTTTGGACTGTCACTTTTTTTACAGACTCTAGGGCATCTGCAGTTTCCTGCTGTGAATGCCCACTTCCCTTCTGAAAAGCTCCTAGATGCATGGCCCACCCTGATGCCACCTCCTTCTCTAACACAGCCCTGTCACAGCCCCTAACACTATCTAACACCAGGAAGCACTGGATAAAATCTCATGGTTAGGAGCTCAGAATCTGGGATTAGGCAAGACCAAATGTAAATCCTGGGTTTACCTTTCATGAGTTCTAGGAATTCTGAGCCCTTACCTGCCTAAGCCTCAAGTTCTTCATCTAGAAAGGGCAGAAGTCATTATGCCACTTTGTAGGATTGCAAAGAGGGTGACAGGAAAAGATAGAAAGAATGTGTGCTGCTCAACACAGGGTCAGTCATTTTTGCTTTGTTTTCCAGTACCAGGGATCAAACTCAGGACCTTGCACTTTCGAGGCAGGCACAGCACCTCTGAGCTAAATCCCTGGCCCTAGGGTCAGTCGTTTTGATGAGTACTATGCATGTTGCCTCCATTCCCAGGTCAGGGTCACATTTATTTGGCCCATGTAAGTGCTCATGTATCGACAGTGATGTTTTTATCTTTTTTTAAAAAAAAAGTTATTAGGAGGGCCGGGGATTTAGCTCAGTGGTTCCAGTGCCTGCCTTGCAAGTGCAAGGTCCCAAGTTTGATCCCCGGTACCAAAAAAAAAAAGTTATTAGTATATTCTCATGACATATAATAAATACATTTCATCTTAGGGAACTGGTACTTACACCTGTCACATCTTGATCCTCTTTCTTTCCTCTCCCCTCCCTCCTGTCTACCCAATCCCCAGAACCCCTTCCCATCTCCAAAAAGTCTATCTCTCTATTCCCTATCATCTACCTTTTATTTTGCTCTTTAGATTATACTCAGGGTTTCTCATATAAGAGGAAACCACACAATATTCAACCTTCTGCATCTGATTTATTTAGCACTATGGTCTCCAGGTGCATCCCTTTTCTTACAAATGACTCAAATTTATCCTTCTTTATGGCTGAATAGCACTCCATTGGTGATATTTGTTTGCAACATGGCTTTCTAATCTGACCCAATATCAAGACTTTAGCCCACCTCGTTGGCCTTTCAACAAGAATGTTGAATGGGCTGGGGATTTAGCTCAGTGGTGCTGCCACCTGCCTCACAAGTGGAAGGTCCTCAGTTCGATCCCCAGTACCAAAAAAACCAAAACAAACCAAGAATGTTGACTGACACCTGTAGGTGTGAAAGGTAATTTGCACACTCTCATACCCTTTGACACACTTTTCCTTCCAAGGGCTGTTTTCCTCTCCTTCCTGCGTGCCTGTGTGTGGGGAGGCTGCCTTCCTTGATATCTTTACTGCGAATGCTGGACATACTTGTGGCTTGAGAAATGGAGATCACAGAGTAACATCCTGGGTTCAGTGGAGGTTGTGTGCAGGGCTTGGTTGCATGAGAAATATCAGTCTCTCATCCTCAGCAATGGGAATAAGACTGGGCTCAGCAGAGGGTCCAGAAGAACAGGGTTACCTTCCCGGCTTCACCAGACTGGACTTTGAAGTAGAGAGTAGCCGGGGTAATGCATGCTAGCTACTGGGATAAACGTGATTCTCTAGGGTTAAACACATTCATTTTGTTAGTGTGACAGACAGAAAACAAGGGAAGTCCTCTAAGCCCATCTGTGCGTGACCAGCACACTCACCTTCCATCTCATGCATTCTTGGCTTGGAACAACATGCGTGTCATTCATACTGCAGATAACAAATGCAATCTGGTGGCTTTCTTCTCTACCTTTATTTATTTGCTTTGGAATTTATTGTATCATTTTTTTGGCATAAGATGTGGCTTCCCAGTAACTATAAGTTTGCTTAAGTTTATGTTTAAAAAAATAGAAAAGAATTTGTGTTTCCTGAGCACAGACTAAGGGATGGTACGGGGAGGGAGTCAGACCTGGGGGGGGGGGGCTGTGGTTCCAAAAAGAGCCTGGAAGCCAGGCAGGGCCTCAGGTGGGGCCCCCATGTTGATGTGGAAAGTGGCTGCATTTGGAGGATCCCAGAACACAGAAGAGAGGGCCAAGAGAAAGATCCAGGGAGTAGGAAAGAGAGACACCTGAAGGGAGAAGAGAGAAGAGAGTTGGAGAAAGTGAGGCAGAGGTGCTGGGAGCACCAATCCAAACCATTTCTCCCACTGAAACCCAGCAACCTCGCCTGGGATATGCGGCCTGCATGCAGACTCCTGGTCCTCATTGCAGTTCCACCAAATAGGTGCTGGGGCATCTTGAGCAAATTTACTGCTTGAGCTTCGACCTCTGGAGTAGACTTACCAATTATGGGTTTGTCTCTCCAGAGTACTTTGCTGCCCCCTTTCCTAGTTCCTTTAGGGAGCTCCTCTCCCATAATGTCTGGCCGCCTTGCTTAAACTGTCTATCTTGCTACCCTTTTCCTCCCAACCCCTCAGGGTGGGGTGCGTCCCAGGCTGGGCCAATTATCCTACCAAGTCCTCCAGACACTGTGATTTGTGCAGGGGAGACACGAACCAAAGCTCTGGACTTCTCTGCTGGATCTAAGAGGGAAGCCACTTCTCTCCTTTTAGAATCCGTAAAGTATAAGCTTGTGGCTGGTTCCTGCCATCTCTCTAGACAGGCAGAGAAACCTCGCCTGCTGTAGAAAAGGAGAAGAGAATGAAGCAAAACTAAGAGAAGACAGAAAGAAAGCAGTAACATTCATTTGAGACACTTGGTCTGCAGTCGGACACCTTGGTGCTTCCCAGTTATCTGAGATTTCTATTTCTGCTCTTCTACAGCGTTTGGCATTGAGTTTCTGTCACTTGCAACTGAAAGAATCCTCACCCATACAATCTCTTTATCTAAAAAAATGAATATAATTCCTTGCAGGGCTACTGGGATTAAATGAGGTCACGGGTGTGAAAGGGATTTCTAAAATAAAGTAAAACACTACACACTGCAGCCACATATTACTAGTGGGAATGTAAAATGGTGCAGCTGTGGAAACTGGAGGAGCTCCTCAAGCCATCAAACAAAATTATTATAGGACTCGGGAGTGTCACTCCTAGGCAGTCACATATCAGAGACCAGGACAGGTCCTGAGAAGTGTGTTGCTGGGTGACTTCATCATTGTATAAATGTCACAGTGCCACTTACACAAACTAGATGGTGCGGGGTATACAGGATCACCATCCTATACACAATCGGTTGTCATGCCAAACATTACTGTACGTACCCACGAGAATTGGAAGCAGATGTTCACACAAAAACTCTTACGCAAATGTTCATAGCAGGGTTATTCATAAGAGCCCAAAGTGGAAAGCTCCAAATAAACATCACCTGAGGAATGGGTAAACAAAACAAGGCATATCCACACAATGGAATGTTACTTGGTAATAAAAAAGAATGAAATGCTGATGCCGAGACATCATGTTGAGCAGACAGATTCAAAAGGCCTTGTAAGGGATGATTCCATGGCCATGAAATGTCCAGAATAGGCAGATCCACGGAGACAGAAAGCAGACTGGTGGCTGCCAGGGGCTAGGATGAAGGAATGGGGAGTGGCTTTCATGGTTCCAGGATTTCTTTGTGGGGTGATGGAAATGCTGTGAGATTAGTGGTGATGGTTACACGCTTGTGAGTAGACTAAAAACCACTGAATTGCATGGAGAATTTTATGACATTAAATCTCAATTAAAATTTAAAATAAATATTAACACTGTGTACATGGAAAGGATGATTCGTACATTCATTGCTTCCTGTCCCAATATCCACAGAGCCCTTCATCTAACCCTCTGAATTCTCCCAGGCTTAGAATCTGGACTTGTCACCCACACACGGAGCCCTTGTGTGGTTTCAATAATGTTTCATGATGATTAAATAAGGACCAACTTAAGTAAGTTAATGAATGATAAATTATGATGAAGTAAATAAATATGAGGTCACGTCTCACCTGCTGGGCTCTGTCCCTAGCTCCTCCCTCAAAGGCTTCTTGCAGAGCATGGGGCACAGGAGGTGCCCAAGTATGAGCTGAAAGAACAAGTACAGGGTCACCTCCTGTCCCACCCCTGTGTTACCCAGAAGAGTGCTCACCGCACTCAGAACCCCCAGGCCCGAGATGACAGCTAACAAAGGGTGGAGCTGTTACCAGCAAGACCGGTTGCCACCCAGACCACCTTCCCATCAGAGCGGCCTGGGGAGCTCACCTGGGGGATCTGCAGCCTTCACGAAGCTCTGGGTCATTTCCGATGCCTGTGGGGTTTGGGCAGCACTGGGGACAGCGTGACCTCCAGCAAGGCAGAGAAGTGGGTGGCAGCCGACCAGATGGCTGTTACCCATCATCATGCTCCAGGGCTCAAGCTTCCTGACTCAAGGTGGCTTGGACTGATCTGGAACTGGAAAGTGCTCACAGGATCGGCTTACAGCATGGCTGAAGTTGGCGCTCCACAAGGTCCTTGTGGCCTCGGCCCCTGCACACCTCATCCAGTGTCTGCCTGAATCCAGGCCCGATCCCCTTGTCCACTCCATCCTGAGTCAACATTCAAGCCTGTGAGATCCCTTGCTCCAGCCTGGGGGAGCCAAGGAGAAGGTAGGAAGGAAGAGACAGAGTGAATTCCTTTGCTTCAGGGACTCTTTTAGAGGACCAAGAAAATTATTTTCTTTGTCATACTGCACTTCTGAAACTCTGGCCTAGGGATGGCAACACACTGATTCATTTCAGCCTAAGCCCTAAACCACATCCACATGCCCTCCTTCTCGCTCACTCTCTCTCTCCCTCTCTCTGGAATCAGCTCCCCCCCACCCCCCACCCCCGTATGTGGCTAAGAGGGAGAAGTGAGTATAAAGTAAAAACTAGGGTACTACCAAGAACAAGAGCAATTGCTGAGGAGGCACATGCAATCCCTCCTGAAACAACTCAGCCTCAGGGACCCCGTCTGAATGTCACCTCCTCTGGGACACCCTTCCCTGCTCCCCAGACGGAAAACTGCACCTCTGTGTGCCCTACACCACTCCTTCATCCATCCCTCCGCCCCCTCCTCTGCTCCTGGGAGCTGAGTGCCTAGGTGCAAAGGAGATTTCCAGGCTGGAGAAGTGAAATGATCACAGCCATTGCTGTCCAGGTTCCCTGCGACATGAGACACGTGAGGACTGGCAGTGTCCTGGGAAAGACCCAGGCCAGGCCCCACGGGCAAAGACCGTAGCCAGGGACAGATTCAAATTCCCGCAATAAATGTGCGCTAATTTAACTGCTTGTGACCATAAGGGCTGGGAGGAAGGTGTCTGGGTTCCAGGACATGTGGGTCCCCTTCTTTCTGGATGCTTCCCTGTGCCCTAGTTGGGGGGACACGGCGGGGGTGGAAGGGGTCTGCACGACTCCAGGGTCACACGAAGCACTGTGGCCTCGACATTTCAAGCCCCCAGGTGCAGGGAAACAAAGGGGACGTCTCCAGTGGCTGGAGGGACACACCCGCTCTGCTCAGGGTGTCTCGGGTCACCTCAGGTGCCCCTCCCGGCTTTGGGACGCTCCTTTCTCTGGGAGACAGAACCATAAGCAACTTTGCCCAAACAGATCTGGGGATGGGGACGCGGGTGCGGCGTGGGTGAGGGGTTCCAGGAGCGGGCGCCTGGGGGCTCTCCTAAGCCGAGGTGCCCTGCGGGGAGAAGGGGCCAAGTGGGGAGCGCGGGGAGGCCGCAGGCCGCCTGCCACCCAGGTGGCAGAGGGGCCGAGGCTGGCCCGGAGCCAGGCGGCCGCGCCCCTCCCCGCGCTCAGCCCTCCCACTTCCTCCGCGCGGAGCAGGGAGCCGGGCGCGCGCAGAGAGACTTGAGGCGCAGTAGCCGGAGGCTCCGCTCGCCGCCCGGACCCGACCCCGCCGCGCGGCCATGGACCTGTCCCGGGGCCTCGTGGTGGCCTGGGCGCTCAGCCTGTGGCCAGGTACGTGACCCCTTGCTTCCCCTTGATACTGAGTCCCTCCCTGCCCGCCGGAGCCTCGGGTCCCGGTGCCAGGAGCGCCTCCCGGGTGGGACTTTGGGTGCTCGAGGGTATCTGTGGGTGTTCGGTCCCCTGAACCGGCTGCAGCGCAGCGGCCCCGCCACGTCTCGCCAAGGAGGGAGGTGCGCGCGGCGACTCGGAACTCTGGTGCCGGTGCGTCCGGGGAGAGGAGAGGGCTGGGGGCTCCGTGCAGGGTGCTCGGGCATCCGGGAGCACCGAGGGCAGTGGCTCCAAAGGGGAGGGAGCCTCGGCTGGGCCCCCGCCTCTGCGGGAAGGCGGAGGGCCCCGAAGTTGAAGAGCCCGGCGCGCCGCCCCGAAGCTGGGGATACCGGGGCCGAACACTGCTGTTCGGAGTAGAGTCCCTCTGTCTGGGGGCCCAACGGAGCTCCGGGCAGTGGGCCCCTGGGCGGTGTCAAGCCCTGTAGCTAGGGCCCCGCACTCCAGGATAGAGGGAAAAGTTACCTGCCCTACCCGTGCTCGAAATTAGGCGATTATTCAACAACCCGGGGAACCCGCGGTCCGGGCACGAGCCGCCTAATTGCCTAATGCACTCCAGGTGCCAGGGCACGGCCAGCCCGAGCTCTGGGCACTGAGGAGCCCCGGGCCCCGTGAGGAGAGGCCGAGATGGGGTCAGCAGTGGGGGATCAGATGTAGACAGCGGGAGAGGTGCCTTCCGGAGCCCAGGTGGAGACCCCAGCCCGCCCTCAGCTCCGCGCTTTGGCCACCTCAGGTAACAAGTGCGCAGGAAGGTCCGTCCTTGATAGGGCTCAGGCTGCGGGGCTCAGTGCAGATCCCAGAGTCACAGCTAAAAAGCAAGCCCTGCTGCATAATTCAGAGCAGGAAGGGCCAGGGTAGAAGGGCCACCAGGCCGGAACCAGCTGCAAGGGACCAAGCCCACTCACGGTGCTTTTAGTAGAAAAGAGAGCTTCAGAACTGTCCTCGATCGCTAGGGATCCAACCTCAGGAACTGGATGCACTTCTCTGAGACTCCAGGGCCTGAGATCAAGTGGCTGCCAAATGGGCCAGGGATTTAGCTCAGTGGTGCCATTGCCTCCCTCGAAAGCGCAAGGTCCTGAGTTCAATCCCTGGTACCAAAACAAACAAACAAAGATATCAAGTGGCTGCCAAGGCTGGGGACAGCAAAGGCTTTTTACTCAGACCTGCCTCCCACAGAGGGCTGTACAGCACTGTGCAGTTGCTTAGGCGGCTTCTCCAGCAGGTTCCCCTGGGGAGACAATGAAGGAGGATACTGAGTCCTTGGAGCTGTCAGGATTCTCGAGGCAGAGTAAGAAAAGCTAACAGGCCTGGCGCACAGTAGGGCTCATCCAGGGTGGTTTGTGGTGGTGTCTAGAGAAGGGAAGGAGTGAAGGACAGTGGCAGTAAAGGACCTCCAAAGACAGGGTTTGTGACTCAGAGCTCCCTTCCTATGGAGAAAACCACTCCTGCGTTATGTCTGGTCAATTTGAGTTCTTGCAATGTGGGATTCATTAAAGATATCAATCAACAGGGAGCAGCGTCTGCTCCCAAGGCACTGGGGGTGGGGCCAGGCGCACTGCAGCCAGAGGACATGGCAAAGGGTTGGGGGTGGGGGGGCAGTGAAACAGAAGCTGGAAGGAATGGCACAGAGAAACTGGGGGGCCGTGTTCCGATACAGAAGCTCAGCATCAGCTAGATAAGCCGGGGGCCTTCCCAGGGGAGGAGACAGGGTTTAAACAGAGGAGTATAGATGATGGGAGGTAGAGTGAGCCTGTTCATATTTTAGAGCACTATCTGTTGGGACTAGTTGTTTGGTTGTTTATTGTTTGCTTATTTGTTACTTTGGCAATGCCAAGGATTAAACCCAGGGCCTTCACACTGAGCTATCTCACCAGCCTTCTTTTAGTTTACATTTTATTTTGAGACAGGGTCTGGCAAGGCTTGAACTAGCAACCTTCCTGCCTCAGCCTCCCAGAAAGCTGGAATTACAGGCATGTACCACCATGCCCAGCCCTCCTGGGACTAATGAAAGAACAAAAAGATGACTATTTTAAAACCACAAAGGTGAGTCTGGTCAGTGTGGACTCCTTAGACTGGAGGGCTGGCAGCCTTGGCCAGGTCCCCTCAAAGGCCATGTGGAGTTCAGAGTCTCTACTTTTCTGGAGTTCCTGTGCAGACAGGACAAGGGGACAGGCCAGACACAGCCGTCAAAAAAGCCCCAGGCAAGATTTAAACAAATCCAAAGACATTTATAGCTGGCCTTTAGAGAGAAGGTCCTGGGATCTCCCTGCCTGAGATCGGCCTGATGTTCGGCAGTTAGGGCTCCATGCCCGTAACAAGTTATTGTATGTCTTTGTGCCCAGTTTCCTCTCCTGCAAAGTAGGGAAAATAATAAAACTTACAGTCTATTAAGCACTCAGGGAGGTTTTCCATCTTCCCTAGCACATTATGGTTGTAAGGACCCAACATGCGCAGACATGCACCTTTCAAAGTCCATCAGAGAAGTCTACGGAAAGTGCATCAAAATGCATCAAGGCCCCAATGAACTTACTTAGCTGTACCCCAAGCTCTGGCCAAAGTGTGGGTCACAGTGAGAACTACGCGGCGGTTTTCACCATTGAGGTTGTCCTGAGCGGAGGGACCAGACCTTTCAGCATGGCCCCAGGGTGTCCTTGTGGGTGGGGATCCTATTTAACAGGAAAGTCTCCTATGGAAAATCACAGAGCCAGGCACCAGGGATGTGTAAAGGGCCAGGCCTGCTCTCCAGCTGGGGGAGCAGAGAGGAGATGCTCTTTGTCGCTGTCATTGTGACTCCCCTTGTCCACCTCACTGGGAGATGGTCAGCCAAGCTCCTCTGCCACTATGAGCCGAGGAGCCACTGGGAGGCTGGGGGGTCCTAGGAGATGGGGTGCAGTCTCACCCTCTTTCTGCTTCACAGCCCTCATCTCTCCCCGACCTTGGACCCCAAATCTCCTTGTCCTTCTCGTCATTTTGGCTGAGGAACTCAGACAGTGCCCTTACCCCTGTGGACCTCCTCCCCGCAGTGGCAGGGACTTCCTTCCGTCCTCACCCCCTACACCTCTGGCAATGCCCTGTTGCTCAGGATAAAGGTGTTCTGAGCTGTCCAGCCTTGGCTCTTGCTATGTAGAAAAGAGCTCGTTGCAGGGATTTAAGAAGCTTTTTTACTGTCCGTAATGCCCAATTTGGGGTATTACCATCTCACTGCAGGATATGAGGTCTTACTCTTGCAGACATAGCCAGTCATCATTGCAGTGCAACTGTGGAGAGAAGGGGCTGTCGTGATCCTCCCCTGACGGTGACAGCCTCTGGCTGACTCCAGGATGGCCAGCTACAAAACAAGCTTTAAAAATGTTCTCATGCGGGCCAGGGATGTAGCTCAGTGGTTCTACCACCTGCCTTGCAAGCTCAAGGTCCTGAGTTCGATCCCCAGTACCAAAAAAACCCTGCTCTCATGCACCTCAAAAGTGGCACCTCTATTGCTCACTTAATGCCCATTTCTCTCCCTCCACCCCCCAAATCTCAGGCTCTCACCAAGAATCCGAAGCTGCTGGACAGTAAAGACACCCACACGCCCTCAGCATGGAGGGTTCGCTAGAGGGAGCTGGGGTCCCAAGTGGGGACCATCCCCAAACCAACATGTCAGTCTTGGGATCCATGTCAGTCTCATTCTCAACCAAATGTCCAGGAGTTTGTTACCAGAGAGGGGAGGAAAGGCAGGCGGGAGACCAGGGTCAGTCATCTGATAAACCAAGCACAGTGGAGCCATGGGGAGTTTCCATCCTGTGGATTTGAAACCTGAGTCACAGGTGTGCCAGGTCTCCGCTGGAGGGACTCTCACCTGGTGTCACTCATTTCTTCACCTGACACTGACCACACAGCAGGTCATCAACGGGGCCGTGCCTGGGTTCAGACACCTGTTTGGGTGGCCCAGGGGTTTGAGCTCCTCAGCTGTTCTATGGGCAGAAGAGTGACTTCACAGGCCAAGCTCGGGTTAGTGGCCCAGAGCGTCAAGTGCGCAGAACACCACCTGGCCCCAGTAAGCCCTCCATTCCCAGGGACAGTTGCTGCCCCCCTCGTCATTATTTGATCAACACCAGACACTGTGTCTGGCACTTTCTGGCATCTCAAGCTTTGCTGCAGCCATCCAGGTTCCGCGTATGGAGTGGCCCAAGGTCAGGCCAACAGGTAGAGGAAGAGGCAGCATGAACAATGCTCTCTCTGGAAAATGGGTCCCAAGGGCATGAAAGACAACGTGATGCCCTTGCAAAGAAGCTACCTGTGGGAAAATGAGATGAGGGTGCCAACAGCACCCTCCCTGCCTGCCACCCCACATTGTCCCCCTCAGATTTGCTAGACAATTGATGGCTCCTCCATGCAAGATGCTGGTGCCGCATGGTGGGAGGGTCCTCACATGGTGCCTGGTGGCCTGAGAGCCTCTCTCTGTCCCTTGCCTCTGCTCAGGGCTAGCAGGGGAGCTGGCACCTGCTCCCAGGTGCCCGATGCCCACAGCGCATCCTCACGGGCCAGGCTGGGCAGCCTCTCCTCCCTGCCCTGCTGGCTCCCACTCCCCTGCTCCAAAGCCTCAAGCCTGTTCAGTTCCTTCCTGCTGAGCAGTATTAATGAGAGCTGACAGCTGATGCGCCCATGGGGATCTGCATTTTAACTGGCCTGTGCCCTCTGCCCAGAGAATGAAGCACTAATGCTGGAACTCCAGGCACCTGGGCTGCTGCTGGCAGAAGAAACAGGTGAAGCAAGGGACCCGCCAGTGCGGTCCAGCCCATCGGCCCCTTCTGCATCCGGTCACAGGTGCCATCCCCCAGCCCCTGTTATGCCGGGCAGCCGTGTCCTTAAGGTGAAAGAGTTCACCCTGTGGCTTGACACTGCTGCTCTAAAGCGGACAGAGGTTTTTCCACGTGGCATGTGGGGTGAGTTAGGCAAGTTGCTAT